AAATCAAGTATGTTACTCCGAAAGTGGAATTTAATATATTGTGACGTGGGTGACGCAACAGAAAGTAAGGGTCATGTCAACTCTGCGGTCTTGCGAGTGACGTCACATACCGCCACTCCTTCCATTATTACGCAATGCTCAGTAAACACCACCTCCCCGCGGTGACATAACAGCACTTCCCACAGTGACCTAACAGGGGACACCGCGGTTACTACACAGCAATAAACAACTCTTGGCAGCATTCCCCAGCAACACCTGTAAACATGGTGTTTATGCAACAGTGAAGCGATGTGGGTTTTCCGCTGTCTGACTGAGAGTTTATAAGGGAGACTGGAATGCATAAGAGAGAGTTAAAATGTAGCAGCCGCCGAAGACGGAGACTGGAATGCGTAAGGAGAGAGTTAAAATATATCAGCCGCCGAAGACAGTTGAAATCTATCAGTCACCGGGTTCAGTTGTAGCGAGTGAATTGTGAACGTGAAGAAGACGTCATAAGTCAGTTGAAACATAGAGGCAGTCGTGGGAAGAAGAATGGAACATCTGTTGTACTGAAGATAGTGTGAAGAGATTTGTGAGTAAGGTTTGTAAACTGTGTAAACCCATAACAGTGTCATAAGTATTTGTAGTTATGACTTGTAGGTTGTTAAATAAACCAATTAACAATCTGAACTGCGTCTTCAATAGCAAAACATGTTACAATATAAACTTTGTTTCAATTTACTATGAACATTAATTTTCTGCTGGATTGACCCATGATCCAAGATAATAAGATGCCCTGTGTCTTGTGTTTCATGTGGTCTGACAGCTAATAAGTAATGCTGATGTTTGTAATTTGAACCCATGGCCATACTATGTGTGAGCACTTTAATGAATTCCAGTTACTGGACATACAATGACGGTCAAAATAGCACAAGGATTAAATTAATAAAATCGTCCTTGGTTAAAAAAATTGAGGATAAGATGTAGAAGATGAAGTGAATATATTCCATCAATAATTTATGATTACAGTAATTGAAGAAATAGTAACACTCATAATTTGAAACTTCTTTACTGTGCAACTAGCCAACTGCCTTGTTGGATATAAGTCAAACTTTAATACTGTGTTGAAGATATGATAATGTGCTACATGAATGGGGCTGCTGCACACTTCAGGGAGCAATGAGTCATGAATATCGATCAGCGGTGGAATGATTAATAGCGAAACCTGAAGAAACTTGGAGAAAAATTTGGTCCAGTGCCACTTCTACCATTGTGAATCTGGGATTAAACCGGCTGCTTCATGATGAGAAACTGGCACAAAAGTGCTTGAGCTGTGGCATGGTCCTTGTCGTGCACAAATGATGTACTGGTATAAAAAGAAAATGTATGTTTCAATCTTAATCAGGAGACAGAGATATCCAGATAATATTAAAAACAGAATGCAATTCAGTGCAGTTTCTTTCTGGTGTAGAGCCACCTGTAGATGTCCAGTGCTGGTAGAAAGATGTTGTGAAAGTAATTTCAGTAATGAAAATATTTAACACCAAGAAAGATAGCTATGTTGATGGTCAAGAGATGGTGAAACAAGGGTTTTACTGATGAACCTAAAAGCAGAAGTATTAGCATTCATTGAATCATTGTATCTTAGAGGAATAAACGGAGCATATCACAAACGTGATGGAACTGTGGACTGATGATGGGAGTAGTAATTGATGATAATTGTACTATACATGAGAGAATGAAATTGTTAAGTTGGCAGCGAACTTATGTTAGATCAAATTGTAGGAAATTACAAAGAAGCATACTGTCACGTGTATGAGTGACCTTATACAGGGTTTGGATTGGTAAAGCCTGAGTTGACCTTCCATTCAAACCCACCAGGTCACCTCTGTCATTAAACAACTCTTGGAATTCAGACAGACATAGTGGGAACAGAAATATTTCTTCAATCAGCCACTAAATGTTTTCCATCACCTTCCTTACTCCCTGGTTACCATAAGAAAATCAGGGTCTCTTAACCTAACCATATAGTCACTTTGTCAACAGATCTTTCTTAACAAGTGGTTGGTCGCAAAAACATCTCTCATTGCCTCTTGTCATTAATGTGTCATCTCAAAAAATGCTTTCATCATTTTCTCTTGTAAATTTGGGGCTGCAGAAACATTTTTCATCGCCTCTTTTCGTGAACACATGATCATCCCTGTCTTAGGTTTCATCCAATCATGCCTTTGCTTCCCAGTCACTGGCCCACCTAAATAAGGGCTTCCAAACCCACCTTCCCAAGGCAGTACAACATTACTGACTCTGAAGATAGCAACTGCAGTGTTTGCCAAGATGCAAAACCTTCAACATTTTACATGGCTTATTCCAAAAAGCTGAAGTCATTTATTATCTTGAAATACTTTATTTATTTTGCCGTATTTAAAAGGTTGGTTTTGTAGGCTGTATAATGAATATGCCATGTGAAAACGTGTTAACTGAAAAGGATGCACTTGTTATGAATTCCATAAGCCATGACCACTCCTAGCCCTCTCCTTATATTCTGGATCATCACATCCTCAAATCATTCAAACTAAGTAATCTCAGAACCAACTAACAGAGGTGAAATATGCCTTGGAAGCACACGTGAAGTGAGATAAAACTCCTTTCATTCAAGGTCATGGCTCTAGATAGAGGTTAGTGGTCACTTTATACTGTCTCAGGTCTTGATCACCACTATACCTGGTAGTGGAGACTATATGGGACCTAGAAATTCTGGACATCATGACAAAGAGGGGAACCCCTTGATTTATTGGAAGTCAACCTAGGCAAATACTGTGGGTGAAAGTACCTGGAATTGGTCAATGAGCTTTAGCACCCTGGCTGTTGTCAGTATGTCTGGTAGTGAACGGCTGTGCCTTCCAGACATCATGGCCATGTTATTCCCTTGCAGGCTCTGGATCAGCTGCTGTGGATGCAAATTACAAGATTTATACCAATATTGTAATAATATATTGTAGCATCCTGCTGCACATCACTTACATGTAGCATTAAATGCTACTGGTTCCACCATCTTATGTGCAACATGTGAAGAATATTGAATAAGTGCTGTAGAAAGACGTGTTGCACATGAGACAGCGAAACCAGTAACANATTACACAAGTTGGTGCATGGTCATTTGCATGCATGTCAGTAACACTTTTGTGTTTCAGTCTATTAAAGACAGATCCTGTCTCCGATACATACACAAATTCCAACACATGCTCGCTTCTGGCAAGTTCAGCTTGACAAGAAGTGGTACAACTGCCAACATGGAGACACCCACTGGCTCTTCTGTCATCACAAATGTTGATCAGCAAACTGTTAACAGTCCTGAGGTAATCTGTTGTTGCTTGTCAAAGGTAACCTAATGCTGCAGTTCAGTCACATGTGAGAATGAGAATTTTCTTTACTGGAACAATTTTTTAATTCTAATCACAATTCATAATGAGAGCTGGGATAGCACTTGTAGTTGTATTTGGTGAAGAGTACAGGTTATGAAGCTTCTCATATAGTTTTCTCCAGCCTCCTATCACTTCATCTCCCTTCAGTCCAAATATTCTCATCAGCACCCTGTTCTCAAACACCCCCAGTTTATGTTCCATCCTTAATGCCAGAGACCAAGTTTCACATCCATATAAAACAACAGGCAAAATTATGATTTATGTATTTTTCATTTAGCGGGATGAGACTGAGTCTACTTGGTACTGCAGCCACTACTGGCATATTGTGCCAGCCCCAGATGATAGATGATGGTGATTGTGGAGCCATTGGCGGAATGAAGATTGGCAGGGGAAACCAAAGTATGTGGAGAAAACCTGCCTCAGCGCCACTTTGTCCCCCACAAATTCCGCATGACCAAGCTTGGGCTGCTGCGGTGGGAAGCCAGTGACTAACCACCGGAGCTATGGCACAGCCTTTTTACGCATTTCAATTTTTATGTTTATTCATGAGAAGACAAATGATCTTAACTGAATGTTAGCAAGCATTACTTGAATTCATTCTCCTCTTAATTTCCTCCTGAATGAAACTTTGTTTCCTTACTTTCATTCCCAAATATCTGAATTGTGCTACATTTTCAAAGGATCTATTAACTATCTTTATGTTATGATTTTACCCTGCATTCTGGTGACAGGACAGCAAGATGTTCTTTGTCTTCTCTGCATTTGCTTCTAGACTAAACTCCTTACCAGTGTCAAAGTTTCTGTTTTTCTTTATGATATCTGTGTTATCTTATGAGCATAAACTTATGTATTCCATTTAATTTCAGTTCTACCTGGTTTTCCTGGACCTTCCTCATGGAATAAAATCTAAAGGGAAGCTGACAAGCAATGGTTATAAAGGTATCTCTTTGTTTTAGCCCATTGCGAACAGGAAATGTATCAGACAAATGCTTACCAATAGAATTCTACCATAGGTTTCATTTAAACACATTTTAATCAGCCTGACTATTTCATGAGTACCCCAAACTTTATGAGAATACTGTACAATACTTCCCTCCTAACCGATTCAAAGGCTTTCTTGAAGTCTGATGTACTGTCTCAGTGTGCTCCCATTTTTTCCCCATGTCTTAGGGATGCAGAAAATCTGATCCGTAGTTGATCTGTTACATCGAAACCCACACTGATGATCCTCAATAATTTCGTTTATGTATGGACTTAACCTTGATAACAGTAATGTTCCTCGGTACTTACTACAATCAGTTTTATCACCCTTGTAAATTGGTACAATAATGGACTACTTCCACTGATCAGGCAATTCTTCTTTAATTCAAAAAGAATTAATAAATTTGTAGATCTCCAAGTGTAATGTTTCACACTCCTCTTGAATCAGTTCTGCCAGAATTTGATCACTGCTTGGCAATTTATACTTTTTCAACTTTGCAATAGCAATTTCAAACTCAAAAGGACTAGGATTATGTAATAACGGCTCAGCTGTATGTATTTCTATCTGCCTAACATCATTGAACATGTGTACATTCAGTAACAGAGAAGTAGTTCTTCCACCTATCCAAATGTTGTGGGAAACTGGAAACATAACCATTCTCATCCTATAATAAGTTACTTGTATGTTGGTAACTGCTAAAATTTATTATTCTATACAAGTCTCTCATCTTCTTGTTCTTACTGTCAGTTGCTAGCCCATTAATTTTATCTTCCAGATAGTCCTTTTTATTCCTGAAATCCCTGCTGGCTTCATGTCTTATATTGTTCATATTATCCCCATTTATTTAGCTTGGATCCTTTACCCATTACAGTTTTGCTCGTTTTTTTTGCTCTTATAGTTTCATTTGTCGAACCATGGCTTATGCTTCTTCAGTTCGTATTAACCTAGAAGGCTGAAATTTTGATATTCTCTCTAGTAGTTTCCCAAGCTGTATCAACATTCACATCATTATCGGAGTTTTCCAAAATTGCGCACCTGTTTGAGATTTCAACCTGGGACTGTTCTTTGCCCTCAGTCTCATTAGTTTCTTGAGATTTAACAGACTAACAGACTGTGCCCTCTTTAACTGCTGATATGATTCTCTTGTGTACAAAAAAAATCTCTGCCTAATTCATGATTCTGATTCCCCTTTCCACAGAAAAATGTATATTCATGTCCTGGTTCAGTGCCACTGCTGTCCCATCTGACCTCCTGTATTACCGCTAAATCTATTTTATATTTTGACATTTATTTTGCAACTGTCACGAGCAAACCTGCCCTATATAGATTACTTGCATTCTACATACTAAATCTCGTATCCTTCTTAGCTTAAGTCATTTATCCAAAAAAGAAAAAAAAAATCCGAGTCCAACGGCCTTCATTACATTTTGTAACAAAATTATTTTTATAGCGAGTTGTTGCCCCCATCCCAAAGCTGGAGGACCACCCCCTGTTGACTGTCAGTGACTGCCAATTCTGCATATTCACAGCTACACACCATCATATTTATCATGATCATACCAAAGTACTTTGAGCAAGATCTGAACATGCTATGAGTTGCTGTAAATTTGTCTGCTAGTGGGTGCACAAAGCAAAATTATCTCAGTGCATTTTAGGACCATCCAGAAAATGTTTATTGAATTGAATTGAATTTATTTACATTCTATAAATCCTAAGTAGGTTAGTACCTTTGGATACAGAACAAGTCAAAAGGTTACATACATAAGTACAGGCAATTTTAGCTTAAAAATTAATATAACTTAATTTTACATCATTCTCTATTTACATTGAAGTATTCATCTAAAGAGTAGAAGGAATGAGCATGTAGATAATTCTTTAACTCTGATTTAAACTTTTTAGTATCATTGCCCAAGTT